CTCTCCCCCAACTCCTGTGCCGGAACATAGACTGGGGTCGGGCTACGGTGTATAATCCACTCAGGAAGGCCTCCCTCCACCTCCCCCTCTCTTTTCTGATCTCCTTATCACCCTACCCTGCACTGTGCACCCTCAGCACAGTAATAGCTCAAGTGCCCGGCACTGGACTAAGTACCGTATGTAAGTTCTCTCATGAAACACAGTAACCCTTTGGAGTAGACATATGCAGATCCCCATTTTACAGGTTTGGACACTGAGGCACAGAATGTGTTGGTAGTTTGCCCAAGGATCCGCAGCTGAGAGAGGTGATGCCAGGACGCACACCCAGGCTTCCGTCCCTCTCTGCTCATTGTTTGACCCCATCTAGTCTGCCAGAGCCCAGCGGGTCCGGCTCCACGAGCCCTAACCAGGTCAAGAGTCCTTACTTTGGGGGACAGGTGAGGGCAGCCAGAAGCAGCTGGTCTCCACAGAGGGACACGGGGACTCCCCAGCAGCTGAAGTGAACCCGCTGCCAGCGGGGCTGAACAGACAAATTGGTCCCTGGCCAACGATCCCCACAATTAGCAGCCCAGGGGTACAGAGCCAGGCGGAGCTGCTCTCTAACCCTCAGATCCTGCCAGCTGTCTCCCTAGGCCCATTAACCTTTATGTGCTTGCTTTCATCTCTACAAAATGGGACAGTTCTAACCCCACAGGATTGTCATGGGGATGGGGAAATAAAATAACCTGGGTCTGCCACCAAGTGTGTGCTGAGTGAATACAACTCGTCCTTCCCCAGTCCCCCGCCCCCCGCCCCAATGGGCCACCACCATTGTCCTCACCCAGCCCTGGCCATGGGTGAGACCTCTTCTTAGCAACTTGAGGAGACAGAGGTTGAAGAATCGCCTCTTGTGGCTTGGGGGTTGTCAGACAAGCCACCTCCCAGGCTAGAGCCAGGTCCTTGCTCACCAACTGGAGGATGTGGCCAGGGAACCAGCTGTCCCTGTCCTGTCCCTGTCCATGGGGGAGCTCTGGCACCAGGGCAGGGACTTTCTGTCACCAGCCCAGTGAGGACAACAGAGGCAGCAGGCTGGGGAGACAGCCCCCTCTGATGGCACAATGTAGATCGCAGAGTGAAAACCGGGCCGGGAGAAGGAATTTGAATTTGATGGTGAAAAGAGCACTGATTTGAACTACTACTGCCTTGGGTCATGGTCTTGTCTACCATTTTTAACTTTGTGATTTTGGATGAGTTACATTTGAAACGAGCCTCAGTTTCCTCATCCATAAATTGGAGTCATTCTTCCCTCGGGTCTGTTCTGAGGATTCAGTGAGGATGTCAAAAAAAGGAAAGAAAAGAAAAGAAAAGAAAAGGAAAGAAAAGAAAAAAGAAAAGAGGAATGGGGCATCATTAAGCACTTATTTGTAAAGTTCATCTCACACCCAACACAGCTAGGCACACAATGGAAGTGGTAAACAAAGGGTTAATGGGGCTGCCCTCAGCCGCAACTTTTTAGCCAGACCTTTTTCATTTGCCTTTAAGAGAAAAGACGGAGGAGGGAGGGCGAATAATAGAAAATAAAAAAATACATAAAAGCTCAAAAGGAAGAAAAGAAAAGGAAAAAAGAAGAATACCAATGGACAAAGAACGCTTTATAGCATATAACCGGCCCCTGCTCCCGTGTGTTTGTCAGTCTGTTTTCATTTGCCTTTAAATTGCCCTGATTCCTCCCCTTTGGAGGAAGTGGATGGAGTTCTATCCTGTCTCCTCCTTTGGCTGTCTGTTGAATGAATTCTTATGCTGCTGGGTACTTCATGTCTCTCAGTGATGGTCTTTGCTAAGTATTGTGCGAACTTGGGTTTGGCTACAAATTTGGCCAGCCAGGCAGGAGCTCTGTGCCCTTGGTTTGTCAGCCCCCGACTGGTAACAGGATTCTGGTGACTGGTCCAAGCAGTTGCCCAGGCTTTCTGTCCTGGGGCCCGTCCCCAAGACCCCACTCTGACTGGGCACCACCGACCTTAACCTGCAGCAAGAAAATAGCTTTGGGTTTGGTTTGGACAGAGGTCTCTTGGTGAGTACTTCATGCGCACGGCATGGAGCTCACTTAGTTCTTCCTTGCTTTGGTTTGGCTTACTTAGATGTCTTCCTCTCACTCGGCTGCCTCCAGACAGAGGATTTTGGTTCTCTTTGTCTCTGTCTTAAGAGAAGGCTGACTAGCGAATTGTTTGGTTCAGTCAGCGAAGCTCTGAATTTTAGGAAGGAACTAGAAACTAGGAAGCCATTTGGTTCTGTGGGTGAAGCCTCAACTCTCGGCGGAGGAACCAGCGCCCACAGAGGCACTCTGAACTTCATTGGGCTTGCTGCAGCTTTTTGATATCTTTGAATAAAACCAACCATGTTCTAATTGGAAAGTGGGAAGTCCCTGTTTCCCCACACTCAGCCCTTTGGGCTCTGTTCCCCAAAATAGGGCAATTTTTTTTTTTTCTGTAACACTGGCCACAGTATTCATTCAACTCTTGAGAAAAATGACCAGTTAATGAGTCTGTAAATTATACCACCTTCCAATTCAATTTGTATTGTAAAAGGGGCAGATGTGGAAACTGGGGCTTTAAGATTTTATCTGCATCTTGTTTGTGTATTTGTGTAAGTGTGAGCTATTTTCTCTGCGTCTGCATGGTGTTGCTAAAATTAATTTATAAGAGCGTTCTAGTCAGTTAAAAAGCAAGTGGTTATTAGAATCGGACATTCTAAAACTCAAAGACAAAAACTAACCCAAATGTTTTTCACATGATCTTGGATAATATTGAGTAGTAAAGCTAATTTAAGGTTGCTGGTTTAATTACAATGGGCACGTGTTTAGAATTAAAGGCATTATAATACAAATCTTTTATTCTGCTTGTGTGTATTGAAAGTCAGATAAGTTCATGTGATCTCCAGTGTGAAATTTGTCAAAATAGGGGAAGGAAGTTTTAAGAAAAACGCCTTAGAACTTTTTGTAATGTCTGATGAAGTTTGAAGCAGCAAACCTGGAGAAGACAAGCAGGTAGACTTCACCATGATGCCAAAAACAACAGCTAATTGCTGGTATTTATAGATCCCTTGGCAAGCTGGGTTGAAGCTTTCCCCTGCCGTTCAGCAAATTCCTCAGAAGCTGTCACAACACTTTGAAGTAAAAGCATTCCTAGGTTTGGTTGGCCACTACTAGTGCAACAATGGACCAGCGTTTGCAGCAAAAGTCAAACAGAGCCCAATGCCTTGGGCATCCAGTGGAAAGGACACACTTCCTGGAGACCCCAACCAACTAGAAAAACAGAAAAAACAAACTTTGGGAAAGATCTGTCAAGAAACTAACTTAATTTGGGGAAGAAACATTGCTTGCTGCTCTGCTTTAGGTACGTGTGGCCCTTAGACACGGGACTGAGTGAAGCCCCTGTGAAATGGTTTATGGAAGACTCTTTCCACACCCTTCCCATAACTTAGGAGCTCCTGATGGGGCTCACCCCCATCAGGGGCGAATTGGGTACTCTCAGGTAGCAGTAGGTAAGCTCAATTCCAGCAGGTCGACGTGCCCCACAGACTGTATCCTGGAGACTTGGTGTCACTAAAGACCTGAAGAGTGAGCACCTCAAGGGCCAGCTCCAACCTCAGTGTGCAGGACCTTGTGAGGCACTGGTGACCGCCCATTCTTCAGGGACGCTGAGGGGAGTTAAACTGTGGATTCCTCACCCTCCATGTATGAGAATCCACAGGTTCCCTGCAGCCTGTCCACAAGGAGAACCTCAAAAACCGCACTACCTGGAGCAGCGAGCCTCTGGCAGACCTGAACTATTCAGGAGAGCTGGTCCAGAGACATCAATACATGCAACAAGCTTGGCTACAACAGCTCTCCCCAAAGGTCCTAGATAAAATACAGCACAAACACTAATAGCCAAACTACAAAATCTTCATAATGCAGGGGCACCTGGGTGACTCGGTCGGTTAAATGTCGAACTTCAGCTCAGGTCATGATCTCCTGGTTCATGGGTTCTCCGTGTCAGGCTCTGTGCTGACATTTCAGAGTCTGAAGCCTGCTTCAAATTCTGTTTCTATCTCTCTGCCCCTCCCCCACTTGTGCTACTGCACGCTTTCTCTCTCTCTTTCTCAAAAATATTTTTTTAAAAAACTTAGTAGTAATGCAGAATGTGGGATTTCAACCTGGCACTGAAGAGTGTCTCTAAGTGAGTGCAGAAATTTTCCATTCCCCTAAACTCTAGTCTTTGCCCCATCTCAGCAGGAGGTAACTAGGATGGTCATCCTCCCAAATCCCTCAAGAATGAGGAATGATCACAAGAGGGTAAGGATTTAAACCGGTCACCAAAGGGATAATGGGACTGATTGCAGCTGCAGACTAGTAAGTGCAGCTGTAACTTTTTACCCAGAACTCTTTCACTTGCCTTCAGATTTCCTTGACTCTCCTACCTGGGGGCAGATTTGAGGCTTGCCCTCCCATCTCTGCATTTGGCTTCCTCTCAAATAAACTTCCCTTGCTGCATCCTTGGTGCCTCCGTGATCATCTTTGCTGGGCATCGGGCAGACAGACTTGGGTTCAGTTACAATAACACGAAGTCTTTGTTCATTTATTCAGAAAAACTTACTGAGCATCTCCTCTGTGCCAGGCAGTGTCGTAGGCACTGGAAATCAGGCCATGAACTAGACAGACAAAAGCCCTGCTTTCCTAGGGCTCCCACTCCAGTGAGAGCTGACAGTCAATAAACAGCTGAACAATAAGAAACCTACCCAAAACAGTAAGTGCGTTGAACACATTAAAACTGGATAGGGTGATAGTATATGATTTTCTCCACGTGTGGCCAGTGGATGGGCTCAGGACTGCAAAGGCTATAAAACAGTAGTGGCCAAAGGCAGAGACCAGCGGAAGACCACGAATCCACCTTCTGTCCTCTCCTCCTCCATTTCCGGTCTGGCCAGATGTCCCTCAGAGTGTGTCCCCCCAGGACCCCTAATATAATGTATTTGGTTTCCAGGAGAGCAGCACCCTCGGCTGAATTTTCAGTGGACAGGACCCGCCACTTGATGTCCTTCCTGACCATGATGGGCCCCAGCCCTGACTGGAACGTGGGCCTGTCTGCAGAGGATCTGTGTACCAAGGAGTGTGGCTGGGTCCAGAAGGTGGTACAAGACCTGATCCCCTGGGATGCCGGCACCGACAGCGGGGTGACCTACGAGGTGGGTGTGCGCCTGCAGTGGTGGGGGACCAAGCTTCCTGGGTGCTTCACCTTCACCCAGCCCTGTGCTGGATATCAATGCAGCAGATGAATCCAGTCTGGTAGGGGAGGCCGGCATAGTCTCACCCTCACGTACCATATACGGTATGACCCACACATCTGGCTAGGAGGCCACGGAGAGGGAGTCTGCTAAAAAGCAGTTCGTAGGTAAGCAAGGGAACAGCAGGAAATGGGCATGGAAGCAAAAAGCAAGAGACGGGGTGAGGATGGGGAAGAACAGAAACCGATGTACATTAAGTCTGGAAATCCTGGAGGTTTCCAGACAGCCAGGTTAAGGACTTTGGATTCTCTCCTGACTGTTCATATTTTTCAGCTATCGTCAGCACACTGACTGCATTGAAATCTGCAGCTATTAGAATACCAGTGGAGGGCAATACATCGGAAAACCCCGGTTTGTGGGCCAATTTGGGCCTGCCACCTGATTTGTAAATAAGGCTTTCCAACCCTGCCCCCTATATTCAATTACATGCTGTCGGGGGCTGCTTTCTCCCTACCAAAGCTGAGTTGAGTAGTTGTAGCTGACACAGTGTGGGCCACATAACCTAAAATATTTACCATCTGACCCTCTCTAGACTAGTTTGCTGATGCCTGGTCTAGCAGGAAGAGCTCTGGGTTCAGATCAGCCTGGTCCAGCTGTTTCCTAGCTATGATGACCTCTCTGAAACTTTATCTTCATCAGGACATAATCCTGGGTACCTGGGAGAATCTGAAAATAGAGGTCTACCAATTTTTTTGCACGATACATGGCATGAATAGAATTGCATCGATACCAGTAGCAGTTACAGCTCTTGTGAAATCCATAATGAGGTTTTTGTTCTGATCATATTACAGTCAAGTTGCTTTCATGATTTTTAACCACTTTGTTTTCCACACTCTGTATCTGTGTTTTTCCCCCCAACAGTCCCCCAACAAGCCCACGATTCCCCAGGAGAAAATCCGGCCCCTGACCAGTCTGGACCATCCTCAGAGTCCTTTTTATGACCCGGAGGGTGGGTCTATCACTCAAGTAGCCAGAGTTGTCATCGAGAGAATCGCCCGGAAGGTACTGGAGCTAGAGCTCACCCTGACACAGACCCCTCTCACCAGGAATGCAAGCCAACTATACCCCTATCTGCTCTGGAATCATGCAGTCCCTGGTGTATTCCAAAATGCAGGACTCCTGGACCTCCCGAGGCTTCTAAGCATGCAAATTATTTGTAAGATCTCAATGAGCAACATCAACATTGCAGCAGGGTTCTGTGCTCGACTGAATGATTTGATCCAGACAGATCAGTGTCCTAGTGAGTTCCATAACTGATTGCTAATGTCAGCCTGTTGTGCCCGATTTGCGAGTCCCCAGAGACCACCAAGGAGCCGCCACCGATGCAAGTACATAAGGGTCTTTATTACAAGCTCGAGCAGGGGCTCACCCGCCTACCGGCGTCGTGGCAGCAAGGTGAAGTGAAGAACAATAGTGAACAGGGTTTTTATGGGGTAAAGGACGGGGGTGTTACAGTACCTATAGCATCATCATCTAAGCACCAGTTACAGTTGTACAGCACCCATGGTAACAGCTTTGACCATTCAGTATCTGTGAGGTGTTCATTACTTTTGGTGGGACCCAATCATGACTTTTGAGAATCCTTTGAAAATGACCAATTATGAGGTGAGTTCAAAGGGCCCACGTGGGGTTCAGGCAAGCGGTGAGAAATTGGCTAGTTTGTATAAAATAACTGTTTGCAGTTCCCAGCCTTGACTCAGACCATAGGAATGTTTTTTTTTTGATTAGCTGATCTGAGGGCGGTCCGAGGATGGCTTTAGCCTTGAGCAATCTGAGGCTTTTCCTGGAACTGGGACTGGGTCTACGAGCAGCCCGAGGTTGCTCTTAATGGAGGACTTAATTTTTGGCTCTTCAGGCCATGGGTCAGGAACTGGGAAGCTGTGGCTTTCTTGCCATTTCTCTTTCAGTCTGATTGTAAATGTTGGCTCAGAACTCCACCGTGGCCTGGGATCTGTATGCAGGGTGGGCATCCGATTTTATATCCTTCTCCTCTGTCCCCAACATGTGCCATTCTTTGATGGGAGCCCTCCAATAAAAATTCTTTTTTTCAGGGGGAACAATGCAATATTGTACCTGATAATGTCGATGATATTGTCGCAGATCTGGCTCCAGAAGAGAAAGATGAAGGTATGTAAGTTTCCTTGGTTGCAGGTAGCAATATAAACTGGCAATACCTTCTGGGAAACCCATTTTCTAACAGGTTTTAAGAGCTGCAAGAATAGTATATCCTTTGACTTGGCAATCCCCTCTTTGAGGACTTCTGCATGGAAGATAAGCTGGAATGAGGCCAGGACTCCTGAAAGACGTATTCACCAGTTATAGGCCTTTGCATGGGAATCCCAGTACCCCTGGCACTCTGCTCTGATGGTCACACTGGCCCGTGGGGCAGCGTGGACATGTCCACTTCCCCGGCAAGGAAAGAAAGGCCCAGTCCTACAGCCAGGAAGGAGCGTCAGGGCCATGCCTTCAGCTCCATTCTCTTGTGGGATCTGGAAGCCACCCCACCTGGGCTTTTTTTCTGTGTCCTTCAGCAGGAAGCTCCCAGGCTACCGTACTGTCCTCCCCTGTAAAATGGGGATAATAATAGAACCTGCCTCGCTGTGAGTTGCTGTGAGAACCAAATGGGATTAAATATGTAAGGTTCTTACGATGATGTTGCTGTGTAAGAAGTGCTCGGCGAACACTGGCTGCCCTCATCGTAACCCCTATGTATGGGGTCATTGAGAAGATGTAGGCTGTGCTCCCCCAAATCGCCTGTGCTATCCCTGCACACCTGTGGAAACCAGGTCTGCCAAGAACCAGAAACGAAAGACCCTCCTGTTGAGGGGAAGGGATAGTAGGAGACTCTTCCCTGTCATTTAGATACTCGTGGAACGATTAAAATATCACTTTTTCAAGGCGAGTAAAGAGCCCCTTCCATCCCAGAGCACCCAGGTGTGCTGAGGCAGGTCAGGCAACACAGATTTTCTCATCCCCCAAAGGAGTTCACATGGGGATAGGGCCAGCTCCGGTGTCCACAGGCTCCTAAGGAAAAGCTGTCCCGCGCTCTTTCCAGATGACACCCCCGAAACCTGCATCTACTCCAACTGGTCCCCGTGGTCTGCCTGCAGCTCCTCCACCTGTGACAGAGGCAAGCGAATGCGGCAGCGCATGCTCAAGGCTCAGCTGGACCTCAGCGTCCCCTGCCCCGACACGCAGGACTTCCAGCCCTGCATGGGCCCGGGCTGCAGCGACGAAGGTGAGGCTACAGCCCTGGTGAGCCAGGGGCTGGCGGAGGCTTGAAGAGCTGTTCCCTGTGCTGGCCCCGCACACCTGCTCGGATGGTGTCCCCCAGTAAAGCACCGGGCCCCAGCTGTCGTTGCCAGTGTGGACCGCTAGGGGGGACCCTCATCTCCAACAATGTCTGGAGGGCTCTAAAACCGGGACGTCAAAAGAATTCTTGGGATTGTCCACCCAACTCCCTTCAGAGCCGTGAATCTGTTCTACAGCAGTTACTAAAGAGCTAGCAGGCCTCTGTGACAAATCACAACTAACAAGCAGTCTGCTTCCGGGCCTTCGCTCCGATCTCTTTTTAAGAAACAGGTGAGGGGCGCCTGGGTGGCTCAGTCAGTTAAGCATCTGACTTTGGCTCAAGTCATGATCTCCTAGCTTATGGGTTCCAGCCCCGTGTCGGGGTCTGTGCTGACAGCTCAGAGCCTGGAGCCTGCTTCGGATTCTGTGTGTCTCTCTGTTCCTCTCCTGTGCTCGCTTGCACTCTCTCTCTCTCTCTCAAAAACACTTTAAAAAATTAAAGAGGTGAGCAGGTTGGCCAACACTGAAACTCAATCCATAGCCCTAGTGGGACGTGACAATTGTGGGCCTTCATGTTCCATTCCCCTCCGAGTTAAAGCAGTTACTTCCTGTGTCAGGACCTCTGGGCTGATCGTAAGGATTCTGTCTCGCTCTCTGCAACTGCTCAAAAATCAGGTCTGAGCTGTGAACTTGCGTGGCCCCTGTCATGATGGCAAAAGCTTCAGAGTGGCACTGAGCTAATTGCTGTGCAAAGGTCAGCTGCCTACTTCCCAGGGTACAGCTGTTCTCTCCACCTGGACAGATCTATACTCTGTACTTTGAGCTTCTCTCTCTCACAGGTGCAACAAGGCAACAGGAAGGGATGTAGAAGTTGGGCTGGTTTATGGCAGGAAGAAAACCCCTTCCAAGCTGAGGATAACTGAAGAAAGCTTATCCTGTTGTGGATCATTCTCCCTCTGGCTCTTACTGGGGACAGTCTTTTAAAACTTAAAAAAAAAAAAAAAGTCTTTGAGAGAGACAGCAAGTGGGGGAGGGGCAGAGAGAGGGAGACACAGAATCTGAAGTGGGCTCCAGGTCCTGAGCTGTCGCACAGAGCCTGACATAGGACGTGAACCCATGGCCTATGAGATCGTGACCTGAGCCCAAGTCGGATGTTCAACTGACTGAGCCACCCAGGCACCCTGGGACAGTCTTAAATATGTCTCTTGGCTGCACTCTCACAGTGGTTTATTGCCATTTGTGCCTTTGATAAGGCACTTCAGAGGGGAGTGAGCCCTCCCACTTCCATATATTGTAGATATTAATCCCTTACCAGATAGAATTTGCAAATATTTTATACCATTCCTTAAGTTACCTGTTCACTGTTGACTGTGTCCTTTTGCACAAATTTGAAATTTTCCTGAAATGCTTTTTTCCTTTGGTTGCCTGTGCCTTTGGTATCCTATCCAAGAAATCATTGCTAAATTAAGTGTCTTGAAGGTTTTTCCCTAGGTTTTCTCTTATGTTTATAGGTCACTGATCATTTCAAGCTAATTTTTGTATATATTAGGTAAAAGTCTCCCTTCATTCTTTTATATGGGGGTACCCACATTTCCCAGCACCATCCTATTGAAAAGCCTGTCCTTTCTCTATTGAATGGTTTTGGACTCCTTGTCTGATTATTTGCCCATTTATGTGAGACTTCATTTCTAGGTTCTTTATTCTAGTCATTGGTCTGTAGGTCTGTTTTGCCAGCACCACACAGCTTTAATGACTATAGCTTTGTAGTTAAGTTTTTAAAGTCAGGAAGTGTCAAATCTTCCAACGTTGTTCTTTTTCAAGGTTGTTTTGATTATTCATGGGCCCTTAAGATTCCCTATGAAGTTTAGACTTGATTTTACTATTTCTGCAGTTGTGCCTGCTTTTTGTACCTGGTGTACATGCTGTCCACAGCCAGACAGAGTTCTCTTGTGCCCCCGTCCGGTTGCCTTCTGCACTTGATCATTCAGGGCAGGGTTAGAACGGTAAGGAAGCGAAGACCCCTTTGGATGTTTGGAAGGAATGACACCGACCACATGAATGTACATGTTACTACAGCAACTGCAGCTTTGTTTCTTCTTAATTCTCTGAGCCAGCCTGTTAACCCAGGCTTTATCCTCTTCCCTGACGTGTGCCCATCTTTCAGGGCCCCACTAGAGGGATCTTCTACAACGATCTGATCATCTCACTCCCCAGCTGAAAGATCTGTGGCTCCTTATTGCCCACGGCAAACTCCTCAGCTTAATTTACAGGGGAAATAGTCCTGCAGTGCACCCGGGTGGAGGCCTGGGGGAGGTGAGCACTCTGACACAAATCCATACCACATGAGTTACACTGCAACACTAAAGACACGCTGGCAGTAAAGGCACTTGGGGACAGCCATGGGTGGGGGTGGGGTACTGTCCATAGATTAAATCACCATGTGTAGGCATCACACCTGTGCAAGTGACAGCCACCGTCATCTGCAGGCTGGACTCCCGCTCAATTCTTCTAACTTCATCTCCCAGTAGCATGCACATAAACACCCTGTACAGGGGTGTTCACATAAGCTTTCCATTTACCTTAAAAGCAAATCTCCTTTACCCAACAAAAGTATACTCAGGTGTGCCCCCTTGTGTGAAATCTTCCCCTAAACTCCAAGAAGGAGTGAGTTTTTTCCCCTCTGTTCCTCAATTCCCTGGGTTGTCAGATTTTCAGGAGCTGGAACATCTTTTTAACCTCCGAGCATACCACTAGGCATTCAAAGCATTCAATAAATCTCTATTGATATGGATAGATGGGTAACATCATTTCCCTTTTTTTTTTTTCTTTAAAAAAGCACCAAGCAGGCACGCATGTGCACACACAGACACGCACACTCCCGTGTTTCCACCCCCACCACTATTTGGAAATAGGACTACCTAGCCATGCTGAGGGCTCTGATTATCTTTCCCCCCAACCTCCAGAGTGTCCCTCCATGATCATGGCCTTTGCTAACACCTAGGGCTAGAAGCCAAGCCATATATAGCCCAAGATGTCAACACAAAAGAATGGTTCTACTACCTTCCTCACTCTTCCTCTGTCCCCGGGCACACAGACAATCCCTCAACACCCCACATTCGTACCCCGTTAGCAGCTGGGGTATTCTCTTGGTTGCCAGGCTCAACAGAGGCAATGAGAGGTGTGTGGTCACTTAGTGTAATCTACTGTTTGGGTACAAATCCACTGTGTGTCTGTCCTCAGGTCCCTATGTCCAAAGGCCAGTCTTCACCCTCAGGAACAAAATTCTCCTCAGTTTTTCTAGACAGGGAACTGGCAGCTTTAGACCAGAACTATAAGGTCTCCGTTTCCTCTGAGCAGGAGTTGGCATTGTATCTCGGAATATGTATCCCGTCTTTCTAGCACTGTCCAGTAGAAGTTTCTGTGATGGGAAAGTTCTGTATCTGCACTATCCAAAATGGCAGCCACTAATCTCACACGTGGCTACTGTTGTGTAGTTAGTGTCTGAGGGAAGTGAAGTTTTCATTTTATTTCATGGTTAGATCTAGGATACATCCTAGACCATGCATATACATAATTTAAGATAAATTAATATATAAAACATCCTTCTACCCATCCAAACAGCTTTCAAATGTATTGTCCTGGAACAAGAGTAACCCTGAGTGCTCCGTGCACCTGGCAACGTGCATGTCCTTTTAGAGAATAATCCTGGTTTTAAGATTTTTGTCTTCCAAGTTCCCTTCCATCCTCAACTGCCTGGCTCCCCTTGAATGCCACCCAGTTCTGTTCTGTTTAATTCCAGGATATTTAACATAGTGTTATGTTAATATTAGGTGTACAATACAGTGATTCAGCAATTCCGTATGTTACTCAGCACTCATCAGAAGGGTGCTCTTAATCCCCATTACCTAGATCATCCATCTCCTCTGGAAACCAAAGTTTCTCTATAGTTGAGACAAACCAAAAACCAAAAAAGACTCTTTGCCCTTTGTTTTTATTTTTGAAATTCTACAAGTAAACTCCTACAGGATTTGCTTTTCTGACTTCTATTGCTTAGCATTATATTTTCTAGTTCCATCTATGTTGCAAATAGACTGCATTGTGTTATGGCTGAATTATATTCCATTGTATACATATACCATTTTCTTTATCATCAAGCGATGGACACTTACGTTGCTTACATAATTTGGCTACCGTAAACAATGCTGCAAAAACATAGGAGTGCATATATCCTTTGAAATTAGTATTTTTGTATTTTGGGGTAAATACCCAGTAGTGTAGTATTGGATCAGAGGACAGTTCTATTTTTAACTTTTTGGGGCACTTCCATTTCTCTTCCACAGTGGCTGCTCCGGTTTGCATTCCCAACAGTGCACAAGGGTTCCTTTTTCCCCACATCCTCCCCCACACCTGTTGTTGCTTTTATTTTAGCTAATCTGATGGGTACGAGGTAATAGCTCTTTGTAGTTTTGATTTACATTTCCCTGATGAGTGATTTTGGGCATCTTTTCATGTCTCTTGTCCCTCTGTATGTCATCTTTAGAGAAATGTCTGTTCACGTCCTGCCCGTTTTCATTTATTTGATATTTATTTTTGAGAAGGAGAGACAAAGTGAAAGTGGGGGAGGGGCAGAAGCCCAGGGAGACGCAGAATCCAAAGCAGGCTCCAAGCTCTGAGCTGTCAGCACAGAACCCTGTGCGGGGCTCGAACTCACAAACTGTGAGATCATGATCTGAGCCAAAGTTGGATGCTTAACCAACTGAGCCACCCAGGTGCCCTTATGTCCTGCCAATTTTTAAACTGAAGTTTTTGGATGTTGAGTTTTATAAGTTCTTTATATATTTTAGATACCAGCCCTTTTTCAAAGAGGTCATTTGCGAATATTCTCTCCCATTCCATAGGTTGCCTTTTAGTTTTGATTGTTTCCTTTGCTGTGCAGAAGCTTTTATTTTGATGTAGTCCCAATAGTTTATTTTTGCTTATTTCTTTTGCCTCGGGAGACTTCTCTAGAAAAATGTTGCTGTAGTCCATGTCAGAGGAATTACTGCCTGTGCTCTCTTCCAGGATTTTTATGGTTTCAGGTCTCACATTTGGATCTTAAACCATTTTATTTTTACGTATGGTGTAAGAAAGTGGTCCAGTTTCATTTTTTGCATGTAGCTCTCCTGTGTTCCCAACACCATTTGTTGAAGAGACTTTTTTCCCCCCTTCAAAACCGTGTATTGGCACAAAAAACAGGCCTTCTAGCTCAGCGGAGCAGGACAGAAACCCCAGAAACAAATTCATGACTGTATTATCAGTTAATCTTTGACAAAAGAGGCAAAAATATGCACTGGGGAAAAGCCGGCCTGTTCCTTTGTGGTTCCCACCCTGGAGAGCTGGGCTCCCGGGCTGCAGCCGCGCCTGGTCGTGTGTTGCAGACGGCTCCACCTGCACCATGTCCGAGTGGATCACCTGGTCGCCCTGCAGCATCTCCTGTGGCCTGGGCATGCGGTCCCGGGAGAGGTACGTGAAGCAGTTCCCTGAGGACGGCTCTGTGTGCACGCTGCCCACTGAGGAGACGGAGAAGTGCACGGTCAATGAGGAGTGCTGTGAGTAGGGGCGGTGCCTGGCCAGCAGGGGGTAGGGGAGAAGAAGGGGGTGCTCCCCAGGCGGCAGCCGTGATCCCAACAGGGCTGGCCTCCCAGCTCCCAGCAGCTGCCTGATGACCGAGTGGGGCGAGTGGGATGAGTGCAGCGCCACCTGCGGGATGGGCATGAAGAAGCGGCATCGCATGGTCAAGATGAGCCCGGCGGACGGCTCCGTGTGCAAGGCCGACACCTCCCAGGCAGAGAAGTGCATGATGCCCGAGTGTCGTGAGTGGGTGTGGGGCAGCGGAGGGGGGCGGTGTGAGCCACAGAACCCCTGCTGCTACCCCAGGTGGAGGCTGGGCGGGCGCGGAGAGAACATAACACCCACTGTCCTTGCAAGAGCCATCAAGCAGGAATCGGAGGGGCCTCCCTTGAGGGACATTCTGAGTGATGCTGGGATGGCAAACTGGTGACCTCTGGAAAGCATTCAGCAGCAGCAGCAGCAGCAGCTGTGTTTTATAGGACCCCAGAGTATCTGGGGGGGGCGGGTGGTATAGTAATACATTCAGGCAGGACATCAACCCCTCAGGTCATAGGCCCCCACTCTTGTTCTGCACTGGACGTGCCTGGCCCCATAAAGCATTACAACCCAGGCTCTAGGCACAAATGCACATAGACCCATACATCGGCACACAAATGCAGGCAGGCAGCAGACCTCCTAGGATTTTAGCAACAAAGTATTCAAAACTGTACTGCATGGTCCTTGGGACAGTGTGGGGTGCTGCAGGTGGGACTTGTGTATTTCTATGGCTGAGCTACATCAGGGCAGGTGCAGGAGAGTGACAAGGACAGTAGTCTACCGAGCCCCTTCTTGCTACATGGGGTCACTTGGGTTACCTGAAAGCCATCGGTCCATTGCACTCGACTCCAGGGGCCAGAGTGGGGGACAGAGGGTAGGGGACACAGGGAAATCAAAGTCCAGGCAGTCCATTCTCAGTGGCAATCCTGGCTCTTGGCCTAGACACCATTCCCTGCCTGTTGTCCCCGTGGTCTGAGTGGAGTGACTGCAGCGTGACGTGCGGGAAGGGCATGCGGACCCGCCAGCGGATGCTCAAGTCTCTGGCCGAACTCGGGGACTGCAACGAGGAGCTGGAGCAGGTGGAGAAGTGCATGCTGCCCGAATGCCGTAAGTGCTGTAGCTTCTCCTCTTACCCGGGGAACTCCACGTTAGCAAAGACCATTAACCTTCAGTCTCCTCACTAGCAAGAGGGGGTCCTGTTACCAGCTACAAGACCCCCAAACTGCAAGTTGCTAGGAAGTCTAAAGAGGAGACAGAGATGGGAAACACATAGCCCAGGCTCAAGGAGCCTTCTTATGTGGGTCTTGCCCTCCCCACCCTCACAGCTGTCTGATCCATGGGTTTTCCAAGCTTTTTACTGCTGTTCTTTTTCCCTGTAACCATTTACCCATGACTAGAGGGTAGACATGAAGTCAGTAACTCCTGTACTTTTGCAGCCTTGCTAAGACCAGCAGCGAAAAGCTCGATGCCCACCCCCATCTCTTCCAAAACCTCTTTGATCACCTGTACTTCACAGGTACTGATCTCCGAGGAGAGAGCGCCCATTTTTCTGGCTAATCTTTCAAGAGAGCTGCTCTTTTAGGAGGTAGGAAGTCAGACAGGCTTGCGAGGATTGGTTTTTCTGGCTTCCTCTGAAAGGCCCTTGGTCTTTCATGCTCCCTCTTCCTTGTTACTACTCAGGCTGCCTACCTGGGTTCAACTCCCAGCTTTGTCCCTTACGCAGATGACTTAGCATCCCTGTTCAACTGTAAAATGGCAAGAAAGCTTTCCACATAACTGGCACGAATTGCCAAACGCTAGACCCGACAAGTATGTTACAGTTGATGTTATATACTACAGTTCCTGAGCTATTTCAGCTAGACGCGGTCGTGTGTGGAGAGGGCCCAGACCATCAAACTAAATGAGTCTGAGGCTTTGAATAAGGTCGCCCCTATGTTCAACCCATGTCACCAAGAGTGGGGGCTCCAGAACTTCTGGCCGAGACACTCACCCACTGAAACACATAGTCACAGGTTCATCGAATGGAGAACACTTCCTGTGTACCAGGAACTAGACTGGGAGGATTATTTCCTTTAATCCTCACAACTAATGAGAAAAATACCATTATCCTCATTTTAGCACATCAGCTGCCTGAGCTCACAGGGAGAAAGGCTGAAAACTACTGACCAAGATGAGTTCTTCCTAGGTCTAGCCTGGATCTACACTCTGCAAACCCAGCGAGGAGTCCAGAATTCTTTGCCTCCTTAGGTCACATCCTCAGAATCAGACTGTTGGGTTATTTTCCCTCCACTTTTGTGAGGTGCTGGCTTAGTAAGAATGTGCTGGATCCTATATGCTGATAAACCTACCCCTCTCTACTCTATCTCCTGTTTCTGGCTCCTGTGATTTTTGCACAAACTGCCATCTATAGGACCCAGGGTGATGCTGAACAAGAGCAGAAGCTACTGGAGTCTTACTGCAAAAGTCACAACGGCCTTGGGTATTGGTCCACAGGGTCAGCTCTGAAAAATACCATCAGTGAGCTATGCCTTCCCTGAGAATATCCAAGTCCTTGGGACAGTGGAAGTCTGCTCTCTGCCACTTAAGGCTGATTTGACAATAGTCTAGATGCTCACAGGGAAGGGTGAGAGGCTCTGAACATATCTTCCAAATTCCTCCCAAGGCATTTGAGACATGTCGGCATAGAACGGGTTATGACCTGGGTGAAGTGAGTCTGCCTCTAGGAGCCTCTTCTGTAAAATGGGAAAACCACACCTTCTCTGCATTTCTCATAGACTTGGGTGGAGATGTTCAGAGAACCTAAGTGGCTGCATGTTGTTTCAGACAGGAGATACACTCATGCCCATCTGTGTCTTGCCAGCCATTGACTGTGAGCTCACCGAGTGGTCTCAGTGGTCGGAATGCAACAAGTCCTGTGGGAAAGGCCACATGATTCGAACCCGGACGATCCAAATGGAGCCACAGTTTGGAGGTGCACCCTGCCCAGAGACCGTGCAACGAAAAAAGTGCCGTATCCGGAAATGCCTGAGAAATCCATCCATCCAGAAGCTGCGCTGGAGGGAGGCCCGAGAGAGCCGGAGGAGTGAGCAGCTGAGGGAAGAGTCTGGCGGCGAGCAGTTCCCAGGTATCGCTCCCAAGCCTGAGGCTGGAGTTCAGGGCAATGGCAAAGCAGGGGAAAGGGGAGTGAGTGGGTCTTGGAAAATCGATAGGGGTTCGCAAGTTGGAGAAAGCCTCCCTGGCAGCAGGGACAGGGCTCCCAAAGAGCACGAGACGGTCAATAAGTAGGGGGCAGATGGAGCAGGATACAAGGAGAGAGGCAGAAAAACCAGCCTGGAGAAGTGGGGACCGGACCGTAAGAAGTCCAGGGGCCTTCTGAGGTTTTGCGACTTGATTCTGTGAGATATTCTAAGCTAGAATGACTTGAACAGACCTGTGTTGAGTGGCTTGGAGGTGGCAAAAAACAGGCACAGAGGCCAGTTCTGTTGGTAGCCCAGGAAAAAGAGTGTCCCCCCTACTCTAGCATAATCAAAACAAAACAGCCTGGGGCTTCACTGTTGAATAAGCTGGTGCACAAGCAAAGGCTCCAATATCATTGGCAAAAGTACGAAATAAGGAGTTGGAAAGATTCATGGTTCAGGCCTGGGTAGACTGAGTGACGGTGTTTGGATTCTCTGGAGTGGGAGAGGAAGGTGCCGTGGTTGGAGGTTAATAGGTACTCTGAGTTTCTATTTTAAAAGGCACAGCTCAATTTACCCCATTTTCTCGTCCCTCAGACCGTTCACCCTGACAGGACAATGAGAGAAATACAGATATGAAGAGCTCCCTGACAGGTCACTATGTGTCCATTACAGAGCCACGTGCATACCAAAGTGCTATCTGTTGGACATGGTAGCCAGTCCTTCAACAAACGTTCACCAAGCCTAAATACGTGCCAGGCAGGCACTGTGGCATGGTCTTCTCTTCCATGAAACTTAGCATAGTAAACGTGCCTGGTTGCACTAGAATAATATAGAGGATCATGAAAACATTTTTTGAAAAGATCTACTCTAACCTCCCAGAGCCAGGGAAGTTTTTAAGCATGTTTATCTGTGTAGGGAAATTAATTAATTACACTTGAGTGTATGTAGGAGACCATGTACATGGGGGCAAAGCATTAGGAGAAGGTGGTTTAATTGCTCGAGAGGTAACTGCCATCCCCAAGCCACCCCAAAACTTCTAGGGTTTTGTGGGCAGTGGCATGAGCTGGGTCAGCCAGGTGGGTCTTCTGAGGTCTTGTTGGACTCCTGAAGCTCCTTTCAGCTGGGGCTGGAAGGTCTAGACCGGCCTCATCTGCACCCTGCATCTGCTGGGGCCTCACAGCAGGGCTGGCCGGGGTCTCTCCTCCACATGTTCCCTTCAGCAGTCAAGCCAGGCTTGCAGACATGGTGGTGGAAGGGTTCCAGCCCTGTTTACTCATGCGCCATTGGCCAAAGCCAGTCCAACAGCCACGCCCACATTCCAGAGGTGGAGAATTTCCCTTGATGGGAAATGCCACTACAGCATTTATGGCCATTTCTGGTGGTCTGTCACATGGGAGTTGACAGTCTAATAAGGACTCCAACCATTGTTCAACTCAACCCATCAAGAGCAGAGAAGCCCAGCCCGCTCACTGACAGCTGTGGACTGGAGTTCCGCATTCAGGCTGGTCTCCCCCTTCCTGCTGGTCTAACTGGGCCTTCTCCTGCTTCCAGGCTGCAGGATGCGCCCATGGACGGCCTGGTCGGAATGCACCAAACTGTGCGGCGGCGGGATCCAGGAACGCTACATGACTGTCAAGAAGAGGTTCAAAAGCTCCCAGTTCACCAGCTGCAAGGACAAGAAGGAGATCAGAGCGTGCAATGTTCACCCTTGTTAACAAGGGTCGAAGTTTTCCGGGGCTGCAGCCTGGGTCGCACAGTCGCCGATGGCTGGAGTGTTCGTTTGCTTGTTGTTTAAGGCAATTTAAATTGTATACCTTAGTTTTCATTTCTGCAGTGTGGCTCGCCCACCAGTCCTGTGGATGCCAGGGACCTCCTTTCTGTCCACTTCTTGGTAGGCACAGGCGGCGTGGGGCTCCCTCATGCCCAGCTGGCCCTCCTCCAGCACTGAAGGGAGTAGTGTCAGCCACCCTGTCCTGGATGGAAACGTGTCCCTCTGGAGCACCCACCTGGGCAGCGGGCAGCAGACAGCAGACAGCAGCCCGGCCCCCTCCACCGGGAGCGGCAGCTGGGTCTGGAAAGGACTCCGTGCAGCTGTCCTGGGGGTGCCGCAGGGAGGGAACAGTCCTGCTCCCACGGAGAGCGCGGGTTCCCCTCACGCTTGCCTTTGGCCTGCCTGCTCTTGTAGGAACCTCTTGTTTGCCCATCTCTTTTCCTTTAGTGGAATTTAGGGTCCCTTGTTGAGTCTCCTCCGTCATCAACAGTTCTTGGGGGGAAAAGAGCTGGTAGACGCGAAGTACGTTGATGTAGGGTGGCTTTTCTTTCAGAAATGTATCTCCCCTCCTATTGGTTCCTGATACCCCAGAGCAAGGAAACGATGGCTGCTTTACTGGAAATTAAGGTTGCCAGTTCTTACAGTTGAGGTAAAAGGTACTAAGCCTAGAAAGTACCATTCCCTAGCTTTTTTTTTTAGCGGGGGGTGGGGGTGGACGGCGCACAATTCTCCTAAGGATGCCAGGCTTATAAACTTATAAACCTTCTGACATTACATCCTTACTAAGGGCAAGGCAGCAAAACTAGCCTAAAAGTCCCAAACCCACGTTTCTGAAATATCCTGACCCACACCTAGACTTTTGAGTTTGCAAACCAGTTCTACCAAGAAAACATCTTTTAGTTATACATCAGCTGCCCACATCCGACCAAGCCATTGCTTCAACAAAAAATACTATCTCTGTACTTTAAAAGGTGTTTTTTTTTTTAGTCCTAAAGTTTTGTATGTAGAAAGAAAAAGTGTTTCAGAGACCAAGAAAGAAAGGTATCTAAGGAGAAAGGAATTATTACAGAATCAGGCTGGGTAGGAGTATCTGGTGAGAAGCCAAACTTACCTAGGCTTTCCACACCAGGGCTCTGGGCCTCTGTCACATGCAGAGGAAGGCCATGGTTTTCCATCCCCTTCCAAGCACGCATACGCACCAAATTCAGGAATTCTGACTACCAAGAATTCGTGTAAAAGGACATTTTACTGAGCTGAGTCTATCAGCAGATTTTACTCATTCATCTATTGTTAAAACTGTTTCATTTCTCTTGCAGGTTTTCATTATGCTTAATCCAAATATGTATCCCGGATGAGATGCATACAATGTTTTGAATACACTACTTTAAGAATTTGCATTAAACACATCAGGATATCTCCAAACACAACATATATATGATATAGCCCTGAATCTGTATTTTCTTTAACATCAGAGACTGTTCAATAAAAAACTCATTTGGGTCTGTCTTCTGTGTTTTTAAACTAATTAAGTGTTCAGGAGGTTGGGCCTTCTTGCAGTTCTTATCTGCCTGAATCATATTCAGTACAAGAGAGGCTTTCTGCTCCCTCATTCGAGAGGGGCCATTAATACCACACATCCCTGAGTCTTCTGGAACTCTGAGTTGTTTCCAGTATTATTTTTGTAATCCTTAAGTGAACTGCTTTCTCACTCCCGGAAAGAGTGTACTATAAGGAATTAAGAGGTTTCTTTTGACAAAAAGCCTTGATGCACAACCTGCCCACTTCTGCAACACTCCTCTTGACCACCTCGAGGCACACTTACTGTCACCCCATGAAAGTCAAGGCTCAAGTCGGTGATTCTTAAGTACATCTAAGGGCAAGCCACCCTAGTATATCATGTTCTTATCAGGCCTCTATTGGATACATTTTTAATATTAATTTTGGAGACTTAAAACCAAGTAACTGGTTTATGGCTGAGAATGGGTAACGTGTTTCTTGTTATGTGTTATTTCTTTTGTTTGCAAGGGGAATTTATAAGAAGCATCAAATCTCTTTCTTGCCAAAGTCTTGGGTTAGGTAGTTTATAGTTTTCCTGGCTAACCATTTTGGAAATAAAGACTTTTTACTACAAAAATAAAATTTGTTTCAACTTCCACTTGAGATAATAAACAGATGGTAAGACACCCAGTAAAAACCACCCTATAAAGAAGAGCTACCTCACAGAGGACCCTTCTGACCCTGGGTGATGGGCCCAGTGAGCACATTCCTCTAAAGCAACACTAGCACTTTACTCACTAGCCATCGACCTGTGCTGACAGTGCAGAACCAAAAAAAAAAAAAAAAAAAAAAAAAACTATAATTGGTGTATAAACTTACATCCCCGTGTTCAGATGACAGTAAATTCAGAGATCTATTCCCCAACCAGACAATGGGTCACACACCTGTCACCTTCCTTGCTGATGGATTAATTGAAGGAAATCTGTTATAGCAAAAGAGAAAAAGCCTACACTTTTTCAGACGCACAACTGAAAAAATTAAGGATTTTTGTGCTGTGTTTAGACTCTGTGTATTAAACATGTTTTAGGCACACTCAAGTGTATACTTCTTCTGAGACGTGGGAGTACAGGACACATTCTCACAGGACTAGAATTCTCTAGAAACTGAGTCCAGATCAAGTCCATGACCTGTTGTGTACTCTGGTCAATACACAACAATTCTCTATACCAAATGCTCTCTGTGACCTAACAGTCCATGTTTCAGGAAACAGTTCAAAGGGGCTAAATATTATAGTGTCCCAGGACTGTGTGCTGAGTCCCCACTTCCCCAGAGTCAGATATTTATACCTTAAAGAAAGGGACACTACTGTACAAATAAAAGTAAACATAAATGTCCAATCCCTGATTAAAAACAGAATCGAGGAAGGCACATTCATTCTACTCTTTGGTTGTTAGTGGTATTAATTTTAATAATGCAATAATTCATTGTGTTCTTCGTATTGCCCAAAAGTAGGGAAGATGAGTGAAATAAATTAGTCCTTTTTGAACAGGAGTGAGATGCTGTGACAAACTATAGCAACTGGATGCTAATGAGCATGAAGAGAATTCTCCAATTTGAATCCTTTTAAATCTGTGAGCAAAATATCTGTGCTAAAATGTCAAATTTAAATAATGATGTCCCTGCTGTAGAGCCCCTTATAGCCACGGAGGGTTTATACACTCTGTGAGGAGCGCAGGGAGGCTGCGTTCAAACCACTGCTGTGGTCCTGAGAGCAGACAGGGCCGGGGCCAGGAAGGTCACCTTTTCCGGCTCAGGCTTTTACACAAGCAGGCTTATGTGACAGGACTCGTCTGCCCCACCTCTGCCCATTCTCACCTTGGGAGCGGGTCATGATGGCAGCTGGACGGAGTCACCGCTGGATGCCAGCCTTGCCCCGCCAGTCCCTCACGTCTTCATAAACCAGGAAAGGCCCACACTGTGAGGGAGCTGGCCTCAGCTGCGTTTCTGCCATTTATATCTGAAATGTCCTGACAAAACAGACCCGCGATACTTGTAACCCAGCTCTCCTCAGACCAAAATGCAATTTCAGATTTTTCTCTTAACATTTACAATGTGGAACATAAGACAGCATTCATTAACATTTTCTCATATTGCTCTAAGTGCTTGATGAAATTCAGAATACGTTCTTAACCACTTCCTGGCTTTAGACCTGACTGGTAAAGTTCTCGTATTTTAGTAGTTCTCACATGCAAGTTAACAGTTCTCATATTTTAACTGTTATGTGTCTGAACGATTTTCCTTTACTCCAAATAATCTTAAGTATTAGCAGAAGGGAAAAGGACAAACAGCTTATTCAAGACTACCGATTCCTTTACAACACTTGAGGTTTATAAAAGTAGGGTACCTTTTTTGTAAAAAAAGAAAATAAAGAAAAGAAAGAAAAGAAAAGGAAAGAGAGAGAGGGGAGAGAGAG